GTTAGGATATCCACATTGCTCTAGAGCCTGTCTTGTGTGGGATTTCTTTCTGCCCGGCTCCAGAGCTAGTGGGGACGCTGTCTGCTCTGTGATACAGAGTCCTGATGACTCCTAACTTGTGCTCCAAAGGGTGATGGGAGTCAAACTGCAAATACTGGTCTGTGTGGGTGGGTTTGCGGTACACCTCAGTTTGCAAATGTCCTCTATCAGAAACTGAGACCTCACAGTCCAAGAAAGCCAACTTGCCATTTTTTACATCTTCTCGTGTGAACTTGATGTATTTATCCACAGAGTTGATGTTGTCAGTAAAATGTTGGACTTCCTGAGATTTAATTTTAACCTAGGTGTTGTCAACATACCTGAACCAATGACTTGGTGGTGTCCCTGAAAAGGACGTCAAGGCTCTCTTTTCTACCTCCTCCATGTACAGATTGGCAACAATAGGAGAAACTGGAGACCCCATAGCACACCCATGTTTCTGCCTATAATATTGCTCCCCATATGTGAAGTAGGTTGACTGCAGGCACAGTTTCAAGAGTTAACACAAAAGTTTAGGCTGATGGTCCTTCTTCAGCATGTGATCAGCTGGTTTTGGTTGTCAGCAGCAAACTGGTTGATCCACTCTGAGAAGGTGCTATTTAAGAGACTGAGCTGAAAACAGCACCTCAGACTGAGGAAGTCTCTTGGATGAGAGACGAAACATTTCTATATTTTTTTGCTTTGTTTTGTTTTTTGGGTTTTTTGAATGTCCAGAGGACCAGATTGAACTTTTTTAGATTTTTCTACCTGTATTATTGAGCATGCATCAGGATATTTTGAACCACTTTGGCCAGGATTGCCTCAAACTAGTTAGAGAGTTTGAGAAAACAGCAAGGAAGAGGGCAGACTACAGGAACCATTTGCGATTCAACCTCAGATGTCGACAAAGTGGCATCATTCCCAAGAGCCTGGAACTAAAATCTTCGGTCAGCGGGCACCGGGCAAGCAAGATCCTGCAGAAGGCACAGACCCAGCTGCTGAATGAACGGGTGAGACAGACCAATTTTACTATTGAGGCCTTGAAGGCCAAAGAAGAGCACATTAAACAGAAACTAACAACGTGTCTAGATCAGACCACACTTCAGCAAGTGTTGGACTGTACAGATCAGGCACGCTTAGCACAGCATGTCAAGTCCAAGACTCGACAACAAAACAAGTTTAACGTACTAATAGCTCATCAACACCATCACTATTCCAATAACAACACATTCAGTGTAGGACAACACTCCAGTAGTCAATTACATGCCAGGGAGACAGAAAAGTGGGTGAAGAATTTATCTGACAGACAGCTCACCCAGCCAGAGACAGAGATTCTTGCCAGGGGACTGAACTTTGCGGTTGCACCAAGTAGAATTCCTCTGGTGGAGATGATCACAGCTACTGAGTCAGCCATCCGCAACAACAAAATTAAAGAGGCTGAAGCAGAACAGCTCAGAATCAAAGTTTCAGCCTGCCTCAGCAATGCCAAACCACCACCTTCCAACATCAGTAGAGAGGAGAGGGATGCACTCACCACTCTTAGCAAGGACAAAAACATCATCATTCTCCCAGCAGACAAAGGAAGGTGCACAGTGATTTTGAACCAGAAAGACTATCATGAGAAGGTTATGACTCTCCTTAGTGACTTAAACACTTATGAACCTCTGAAAAGAGATCCAGGAAGTGGTTACAAGAAAAAGTTATTAGATTGCCTGAAAATTTTGGAGCAGGACAAGGCTATTGACCGTTTTCTGTACCACAGACTGTACCCAGGGGAGGCCACACCTAGTCTGTATGGTTTACCTAAAATCCACAAACAAGGTGTACCTTTAAGACCAATTGTTAGTATGATTAACTCTGTCACTTACAATGTTTCCAAATATCTGGCGTCTGTACTCATCCCTTTAGTTGGCAGCTCAGAACACCACATACAGAACACCATGGACTTTGTCGACAAGGTGAGGGATGTCATCATGGAGACTGATGAAACAATGGTCTCTTTTGATGTCACATCACTCTTTACGTGCATTCCTGTTAATGATGCAGTAGAGGTGGTCAGTTTAAAATTAAAATCAGACACCACTCTGAGCAGCAGGACCACACTTTCTACAGAACAACTGTGTCAACTCTTGAAACTGTGCCTGCAGTCAACCTACTTCACATATGGGGAGCAATATTATAGGCAGAAACATGGGTGTGCTATGGGGTCTCCAGTTTCTCCTATTGTTGCCAACCTGTACATGGAGGAGGTAGAAAAGAGAGCCTTGACGTCCTTTTCAGGGACACCACCAAGTCATTGGTTCAGGTATGTTGACGACACCTGGGTTAAAATCAAATCTCAGGAAGTCCAACATTTTACTGACCACATCAACTCTGTGGATAAATATATCAAGTTCACACGAGAAGATGTAAAAAAATGACAGGTTGGCTTTCTTGGACTGTGAGGTCTCAGTCTCTGATAGAGGACATTTGCAAACTGAGGTGTACCGCAAACCCACCCACACAGACCAGTATTTGTAGTTTGACTCCCATCACCCTTTGGAGCACAAGTTAGGAGTCATCAGGACTCTGTATCACAGAGCAGACAGCGTCCCCACTAGCTCAGGAGCCAGGCAGAAGGAGAAATCCCACACAAGACAGGCTCTAGAGCAATGTGGATATCCTAACTGGGCCTTCCTG